ACAAACATCCCTCTGCCCTTCTGCGTGCACTAAGAGCTCCACCTTGTACATCAGCCGTCACATGATTGGACCCACCCAGCGCACAGCATGGCACGGCAGTCGGCCTGCAGCAGCTCTGCGCAGTGGCTCCATGTAAACATTAACTTCCACCTGCTTATTGCGTGAGACTGTGGTGATTGATGACAGCCAGCTTAGACGTGCAGGCACACTGATGTAATACAACCACCCATTAATCGATTTGGCATCTGATTGTGAAAGACAGTACAGTCTGGGTTGCTGCTTGTAAAATAATGAGAGGCCTATAAAATGTAGTTCTGCTGTACAAGCGCAATATAATATTAGATAACTGACCCGCCCAGTGCTTTAAGGCCTAAATATGACACATCTCATATGCAACTCTAATGAGAACTGTGATGTGTAAGTTATGCAAAATGAACCCTATGAGTGATAAAGGCTGTAAACTGGGGTGGCTCTTTGTTTTATTTATGTTGTGAAACTTTGATAATCACAGGGGAAACCTAGACTACTGCAGCAGAGAGCAAACATGGGGGAAAAAAATCTGAAGACAGCGAGTAGACGGTGACGCAGGGGCTTGTTTACCTGACTTTGGGTAGGTGACAATCCATATGTCGCTACTTCTGAGGGAGAAGTTCGCGATCTCCTCCATCTTCCCTCTGCAGAAGGGCGGCAGCCGCACTCCATCAAACTCGAAATATTTACTCTCAAACTCAATCGGCGTGCTCGGCGTATCTGCCTCGCTCTCGGCCATCGTCGAAGCGAGCCGCCAGTGCAAGAAGACGAAAACGTGCACAACCCACGCGAAGAGTCTTTTACTCAAACAGAATCAAAAATAAGGATGGTGATGAGGTTTATCTAAAACGGTGCTACCGTTCTCTTCAAGGTGATGAGGCTCGCGGTGGACGTTGCACGGCAGGGACGAGTTGATTTGCAGCCAATCACGCGGGATAGAAGTGATGTAATGCGCGCGCACGAGGAGCAGCATCAGGACCACTCTTATCCGGGCGCAGCGGAAGCACGCTTTCTACCACATCACTCAGATCTGCACTACACAGTAAACACTACCAGGCCTATTATAAGGAAGCTGTATTAACTTATCTATGATGTTATATAATTCTATCGTTTTATAGCACATCATCCCTGTATCTATGATATTGTCTTATTGCCTAATTCATATTGAGGCAATAGGCGCAGTTAGCATCATGCTGGCAAAATATACCTGGTGATAGTGTATTTAACACTCAATGCTGCAGCAACATACAGCTAAAGGTTAACTGAACAGCAAGGACAAAAAGGGCAATTTTCCACACAGTCTATAAACCTGGATTCTACAAAGGCACAGCAGAGAGCATCGCCACAAGGTATGGGAACGGTACAACCCTATTACCACAAAGCATTGCAGCTTGTATTACAAAGTCTGTGGACATGAGCTTCCCTCCATCCAGGATTTATATAGAGCAGGTGATGCAGAGAAGGTCTGTAGAATCATCAGGGATCTCAGCCATCACAGATGGTTTTAGTTGATTCCATCTGGCAGACTCAAGGGTCAGCTGGCCCCCAGTCAGGCTTGGGGCCGGCTTCTTCCGACAGACTTATGAGCAAACAGTCTCGGGTATTGTTACGCACTGTTGAATGCATGATACCATGTGAAATAACTTCTTTTGTGCAATATAATTTCTGTTAAGTTACAGACTAGGATAGGACCCAAAATGCAGACCCAGACTAGAGTCTTAAGAAAAAAACTTTAATAAAATAGAACAAATCAACAAAACAGTAACCAAACACTCAACCTGACTAGCTAAACCAAACATTGACAAGACTAGAATGCAAATACTACAATCAGGGAGCTATGGAAAAGAACTCAAAGGCACACAACTAAAACAAACCTGAAACTTAAAAAGAGGATACAAGTTAACAGAGAAGCCCAAAACTCCAACAGAAAAAACAGCCCGCAGGTTAAGACAGGGAAACGAAACAGATAGCGTCTTATGGGATTGCTAGGAACAAATACGTAAGGTATGAAGAGAGAATGGACCAACAAGTGACTGATGGAAAGGAGAAGATTATATGGGCTGAAGGCCAGGGGCTAATGAGCAACAGGTGGAAACAGTGAGTGGTGATTGTGAACTGGGGTAAAGCTGGGGCAAGTGAGGTGACACAAAACCAGGAAATCAAACCAAAATAAAAGCACAAAACAGGAAGCAAGTCCAAACCATAACAGTTTAAACATTTTTGATTTTATCCCATCAAACAAAAGCTACTCCTTCAGTAATTCCCCTGTATTTGAAACTTAAGTTGATTTCTTTCTGCACTTTTTAATAGCCTACTTTTAGTTTATTGTTACTCACAGTATAATTCCATAATTTTTTACCTGCTTTATTTATTTTTATTTGTTTTACATATAGTGCTGTCAGGAAGCCAAAGTTTTTGTTTTTACCTTCATGTAGGTCTACTTATAAAAAAGGACATTAAACAAAAAGATCTTGAAACTTGCTCTTTAATCTGAAGATGCCTTCATACAGTGAATGGTATAATGTTCTGTCACTAACGGAGACAGTCAATAGTCACCTAGAATTATTCAACAAGCATGAGAAATTTGCAAAAAAAAAAAAAAAAACATGAGCCAAGCAGAGGGAATGTTTGCTCTGTGCTGTCTGTATATTTTTTGGGAGGTGCATTTATCCAGTCCTACTCTCATTACAACAGGTTGCCTTTAGGGTTACTAATGAATCTTTTTCAATAACCTGTGACACTACAGAAACATTCACTAGCTTCATGTGCTTCACATTCTGATTCATGTGGAGAAAGTGCAGACTATGGTTCTGAAGGTTAGGTCTTCAAATACTGTAGAAAAGTGTGACACTTTGCTTTATGATTAACCAGCTGTAAAGCTGTAAAGTAATAAATAGTGAAAAGTTCTAAACATTTATAGCTTAACGTTAAACTATAGTACTAAATGTGTGTGTGTATGGTAAACTGTTTTTCGTAAAAGAGCCTATGCAAACCTCTGGATAAACGTTCTCCTTGAGCGTACAAATCAGGGCGGTGACAGTTCCGACACCACCTGAATGTACCACTAGCCGTGCGCCCTCCTTGCTCCTTGCTCCTTCCTCTACAGCAACAGCTGTCGAGGGTTTGAGTCTTCCAGTCGGCGGGGGGAGGCGATGGTGTGAGTATTCCTCAGCCACTCGGCACATTCAGAGATTTTTCTGCTGTCAGGGCTCCCCAGCCGGGGCATGACCCGCCATGTTCGACCTTAACGGCGGGTGTCTTTTGCCGGGTGCGGGTTCCTGGGGATTTACCACATCGGAGTTGCCAGCTGCCTGCTGGAGAAAGCACCCTACCTCGTCAAAGGGGCCACCAAGCTGTACGGGGCTTCTGCCGGTGCTCTGACCGCCTCGGTGCTCGCCAGCCAGGCGTCTATATGTAAGACACACCGATGTGGAGCTTGGAGCTTTATACGCTCTTACAGCAGGAAAGGGAAGAAACCGCGGAAGTCCCGCGTTACTATTATTATTGTTATTATTAGTACTATTATTATTATTATTATTATTATTATTATTATTATTATTATTATTATTAGTAGTAGTAGTAGTAGTAGTAGATCTTGTAGGAGTAGTAATTCATGTATTGAAATATATTTTCTTATTCATTAAGTAAAAAATAAGTATATAGGCTGCTGTATGCATTTTTTGTAAAATAAATTAATTCAGTTACATGTAATTTGAAATATAAAGTCTATGTTAATCCCAATTATTAGGACAAAATTATAAATTAAATGTTCAAAACAATAACATACATGTTTAATCATTTTAATATCTGTACAACACTAACTATCTTATCAGTCATTTTTCAGGTTTATAAGATAGTTAAACAATAACCTACATTAGAAATTCAAACCACTGTGTAGACCTAGGGTATGTAGAGCAGACTGATAATGCCTTTCACTGATGCATGTTTGGTAAAGGTTTACTTGTAAAACTGTGGTGTGGAAGAGACATGCCTGCACTTAGTGTGGACTCGGTGAATCAGAAGCACCCTTTCGCTTTCTCTCCCAACAGTGAGCAAGCATAATGGTTGATATCTGTATACATGATTGCAGATCAGCCATTGTGCATCACCTGAAAAAACTGCGAGGAAACCTCGGTATGCAGAAAAGAGTGCACCCAGGTCACTGTTGGTCACTGACCCTTGGTCACTTTAGGGAAAATCTATTCAGCCAGAAGTTGACACTTAAAGCAGTGTGTTTGTTTGCAGTCAGTTGACTGTGTATCTTTAAAGTAAAATAGCTGCCCTTTAACTTTTTCTTTTTTGTTGTCTTTCCTAGCTAAGTGCTGTGAGGATGTGATTGAGCTGGCGAAGGAGGCTAGAAAGAGGAACCTGGGCCCTCTTCATCCCACCTTCAACCTGATCAAGGTAATAAGGTCAGGCTTGAATCGAGACCTGCCTTCTGATGCACATGTCCTGGCCTCGGGGCGACTGTGTGTTTCACTGACCAGGGTGTCCGATGGGGAGAATGTGCTGGTTTCTGAGTTTAGCTCCAAAGAGGAACTTATTGAGGTAGGTAGAGATGGTGACGTGGCTATCTTTTAAATCTGGAGAAGCCTTTAGGGTCTCCTTTACAGTAATGCCTCTGGAAATGAATTTCCTCTGGTTTAACCATGTGGTCTGTCCGCAGGCACTGATCTGTAGCTGTTTTATCCCTATCTACTGTGGGCTGATCCCTCCTTCCTTCAGAGGAGTGGTAGGTGTTTGTTGTTGAATTAGCTTTGATTTCCATTTAAGGTGGACAGCATAATAGTTCTCAGTGTTATTTCATTTATCAGAACACTCATATTATTTGATTTGATTTGATTTATTCTTTCAAGCATGTAAAAACAGTTGATATGACAACACACATAATTTTACACATAATCCAATATCAATTTGCTTATACCTAGTACATGCTTGAATGGAGTAGGAAGAAGTCAGACTTATCCAGTCCTACCCCATGACATCATCTTACCATCATTGGTTTACAAGCAGTATCTCTACATAAATAATTCTCTTCTACACCACACAAGTAATATACTAAAAAAATTATAACAGAGTGTTAACATTCTTACATAATTACATTCTTAAATAATTATCTTCTACACCACACAAGTAATATACTAAAGAATTATTACAAA